TTTCATCCCTCCAAATATGGATGGAAGAGAGGGAAGATAAGTGAGGCTATTATAAAAGTTTCAAATTTCAATATTATCCGTACTTATAACACAATAAAGGTTCAAAGAAAACTATAGATAGAAATGGATATAATGGTAAAAACAATTTACAACTCTCCCTTCCCTGCCCTCCTAACAAACAAAGTAAGTTGTCAAATTCTCTTCTCTCTATCTGTTAGCAAATATGATAGTCACGATTTATGGAATAACTTCCCGTATTAGCATATATCTGATTATGCTATAGAATATGCCATAGAATATTCGGTGATTTGATTAGATTTTATTTTATTTCCTTTCTTTGATTTAGATTTGGTTTTATTTCCTTTATTGTAATATGAGCATGTGCTCTTTTTTATCTATAAATACTAGAGTTGTGAATAAGTAATTATATCATTCAAGCCTTTACATATTATAAATCTCATTGAATCCTTTACACAATTCTCTCTTTTTTCTTCTATATTATATTTCTTCTTGGTAACAAAGCCAGGGTGGTCCAACTGCAATGAGGGTATGTAAGTTCGGCACCACCCATTCGGGAATGGTCTAAGGTAAGATTGCCCATCAGGGAGGTGTCGGGTAGGCAAGGTGATCCGACCTCAATGAGGGTGTTGCGAGTTTGACACCACCTATTCAGAAATGGTCTGAGGAGACATAATTGTTTCTTTTTATGGCCTGAGGAGACATTGTTGATTCTTTCATCTACATTGTTTAAACATATGTATGAAGGGGTCTGAGGAGACATTGTTGATTCTTCCATCTACATGTTTTACACGTGTATGAAGGAAAATGGTCTGAGGAGACATTGTTGGTTGTTTACGGTCTGAGGAGACATGATTGGTTGTTTACGGTCTGAGGAGACATGATTGGTTGTTTACGGTTTGAGGAGATATTTTTGATTTGTTAATCGGCACTTCATTTAAGAGAAAATCATCGCTAGTCAGATTTGCACTCTGTAACTTGTAGATTCTGAAGAAGGGTGCTAGCAAGACCGTGTTTGAAGATGCATTGTCCAAGTTAGGCGATTAGCCACGCACTAACTTGAGGGGTAATGTTAGCAAATATGATAGTCACGATTTATAGAATAACTTACCGTATTAGCATAGATCTGATTATGTTATAGAATATGCCATAGAATATTCTGTGATTTGATTTAGATTTGATTTTATTTCCTTTCTTTGATTTAGATTTTATTTTATTTCTTTTCTTATAATATTTTTTTTTCAATAAGTAATAATGAATTAAAAAAGGCATTCAAGAGGGGAACGCGTCCCTTAAACAATAGTGGAACCGAGGGCTAGGACCCCAAAGAATCCAAAAAAGAAATTAAATCATCAGAAGAGGAGCAAGAACTCCTCTTCACATAACTAAAAAGAGAACGAATAATAAAAAATTTCAGCGTCGCCGTAGACGACTCCTTCCCTTCGAACATTCTATTATTTCTCTCCTTCCAGATGCACCACCAAACGCAATGTGGGACAATTCTCCAGTAATCGCGCACATCCCTTCTCACACGACATCCTCTCCAAGCATAAATCAAATCCTTAGAAGAACGTGGCATTACCCAACACATACCAAACAACCCAAGAATAAGATTCCAACAGTCGTGCACCACGGGGCAATGCATAAGGAGATGATCAATTGACTCCCCGTCTTGCTTGCAAAGGCAACACCAGTTAACAAAACAATTTCCCCTCTTTCTCAAATTATCAATCGTCAGTATCTTACCCCAAACAGCGGTCCATATAAAGAATGCCACCCTAGTTGGAGCCATAGAGTACCAAATGGTCTTCCACGGGAATTCAAGGCTATCAAAATTAGACAGACATAAGAACAAAGATCTTACTTCAAAACGACCATGAGAAGAGGGAATCCATGTCAAATTGTCAAAACCCTTGCCAACTACCTCCTGTCGGTACAATAGATCCAGAAAAATACTTACCTCGTCCAACTCCCAATCCTGAAATGAACGTCGAAAATGCATGTCCCACGTAATTCCACTACTATCAAGTCGATAATAGTCAGCTACGGGTGTCCCATCCATCCCTTCTTCTCTCCTTTCCATTCAATTTTCTTCCTCCTTCCTACCGAACGAAGCATAAGTTATAAACCTTCAAACATTTAGTATCTATTGGAATTACTATCATGAAGCATATTCTCTCTGTCTTCACATTCCTTTCCCGGCGTTGTTCCGGCCATTTCCAGGCTTTTTTCCTACGTAGTTGCGGCCATTTCCAGGCTTAGTTCCGACCTTTCCCGGTGTTGTACTGGCTTTGTTCCAGACACCTTTTCATCATCTTTCAAGGCGTTTCTTTAGCAAGTTGGGCATTCATGATATTCATGCTCCAACTTGAGGGGGAGTGTTGAAAAATATAAATATTTCTATATAATTGTGGAGCAACATCCTCCACCAATCACGGTGATCCGATCAATTTCCTTCCAATTATAAATATTTCTATATAACGGTGGAGCAAAATCCTCCACCAATCATGGTGCCTCCTTTCACTATTGTACACCTTCTATATATAGGTTCCTTGTACTCAAGCAATATACATTTCTGAATAATAAAAATGTAGTCCTTTGTGGCTCTTTGTTCATGGATGTAGGTCTTAGTGCCAAACCATGTATGTGCCTGTGTTCTCCATCTCTTTCTCTTCCCTTTTCTTATTTGCATTTCTTATTTCCGCATCCAAATTTACCATGGTATCAGAGCTAAGTTGTTCTTGTAATCCCATCTAGAATTGGAGTATTGGAATTATTATCATGGAGCATATTCTCTATGTCTTCACATTCCTTTCCCGGCGTAGCTCTGGCCATTTCCCGGCTTTTCCCGGCGTTGTTCCAGCTTTTTCCCGACGTAGTTCCGGCCTTTCCCGGTGTTGTTCCGGCTTTGTTCCAGATACATTTTCATCATCTTTCAAGGTGTTTCTTTAACAAGTTGGGCATTCATGATATTCATGCTCCAAATTGAGGGGGAGTGTTGAAATATATAAATATTTCTATATAATTGTGAAGCAAAATCCTCCACCAATCATGGTGATCCGGTCAATTTCCTTCCGATTATAAATATTTCTATATAACGGTGGAGCAAAATCCTCTACTAATCATGGTGCCTCCTTTGACTATTGTATACCTTCCATATATTTTTATCTTTACCATGCCTATATATAGGCTCCTTGTGCTCAAGCAATATACATCTCTAAATAATAAAAATGTAGTCCTTAGTGGCTCTTTGTCCATGGATGTAGGTCTTAGTGTCGAACCATGTATATGCCTGTGTTCTCCATCTCTCTCTCTTCCCTTTTCTTATTTGCATTTCTTATTTCCGCATCCAAATTTAACATGGTATTAGAGCCTGATTTCTCTTCCTAGGTTCAAACCCCTATTTTAGGGTATTCCCTTAGCATCTGAAATGTTGCTAAGGGTTTCTTGGTGTTATTTGTGACTTGTTTGAGCTGCCGGTTTGTTCGGCAGTAATGTTCTTCACCCTTGCCGTGTCTCCAGCAATTTTTATTGACTTGTTTGGGCTGCCGGTACGTTCAATAGCATTGTCTTCGTCTTTGTCGTATCTCCAGTAGTTTTTATCTACTTGTTTGGGCTGCCGGTGTGTTCAGTAGCATTGTCCTCGCCTTTGCCGTGTCTCCTGCAGTTTTTTGTTGACTTGTTTGGGCTGCCGGTGTGTTCGGTAGCATTGTTCTTTGTCTTCTCTCTTAATCATTCACACTTATTGTTATTCGTCATCTCAATGGCAAGTTGGGTATTCATACTCCAACTTGAAGGGGAGTATTGAAGATTTAATGGAGGAATCAATGGAGAAAAATCTTTCAGTAATTGATGTTGTTTCCTATTATTAAAGATTTGGTGTTATTAGAGGAATCAGTGGAGAAAAATCCTCCTTGTTTCCTATTTTCTAATTCTTTCCATTCTCATAATTTATTCTCCAGAGCCTCCACCATTGTATTGTATATGAATTGAAAGAGTATTATAAAAGTGATGTAGCCCCTTGGGCTTTTTGTGTCGTGGATGTAGGCCCTAGTGGTTGAACCACATAATATGTATGTGTTCTTGTTTCATTTCTCTCTTCGCTTCCGTTTTATACTGTACAACAGTATCCATAAATATTGTTATAGTAGTATTCTTCTAAACTGAAAGATTTGGCATCATGCCATATTTTCACATCTCATTGTTTCAATATAGAATTCTATGCGATGTTGTGGCCCGAATTTTGATTCAATCCTGTTCATGTTGTCACCCGACTTCGACATGGAAAATAGATTTTGTGTGGGTCCAAGGGAAAATTTTTATGACCCGTTTTTCGTTTGCGGGTTGTGGACCCTATTTAGAATTGTCTTGTAGCCCAGTATATAAAGGTGTTTAGGATTTGGAGTGGATAATGTGAGAACACTGGAAATCGCAGAAAGGAGAGTGAGAGAGAAAGCTAGGGTTTTGGGGCTGAAACTTGTAATCTCCTTTTTTAATAGGGAAATCTTTCGCCTGATTTTCGACGTAGTAGGCTTATGCCGAACCACGTAAATCTTTGTATTTTTGTGTGTGGTATGTTTACTTTTCTGTCGTGACTCTTGTTTTGTTCTTGGTTCACTGCGTTTATCATAACATTCTGAATCTAGCAGAGGGGGTCACATTGAAAAGCAAATTGCCAGACTGGACTTTCTCATTTCATATGTTTTGATGGACCATATTTATTACTTTCAATGGGGCATAAAAGGCTCCACAGATAAGAGATAAGATATTTAGTATGGATATGGCCCACTTATTGGGGAAAAACTAATGGATTGACCAAAAACCAGCCCGTGACTGAAAAATGAAACCTCATAAGGGAAAAGTTAATTAAAGGAATAAGTTTTTTATTTACTTTTTCACAACAGTCAACTATAGTAAAGAACTTTGGTTTACACATTTTCTGATACAGCATTAAAGAATCTATCAGAGGTTCAGAAGAAAACCTGGAGAGCAGCAGCACCAACCCTCCATGTATCAACTTGCCACTTGACTTGTCCCCCTGCTTTGATAACACGTTCTCTTTCCTCAAGACAACTTGCAACATGATCCTGTGTCAAGTTCCATTAGTTGGTGAACAATACAATACCTTTTAGTAAGCCAAATAGAATTTGAGCAGGATGTAAGTTTCTAGTGATTTTGGTTGACAAAAGAAGTCCATCTCTCACCTTACTTAGAGCACAAGGACCACCAGTTCGACATACGATTGTCCTACAATCACCAGCATTAGCAACAAGAAGCTTATTTCCAATTATAAGAGCCACAACCGCAGTGCAACCAGGGTGCCAGTCTTTCTGAATAATTTCTCTAGATTTACGATGGAAATCCAGTTCATCCCTAAATGCAACATCTGTCTTAATGAATGCTTCTAGTAATGCATCAGAAGGACTGCAACATTATAATCATATTAACAAATAACTTCTTCTTTTTCCTCAAATGCATGCATATATACATTCTGACAAGTACAATGCCCCTAAAAGGGTCAAACAGGGGGGAGCAAAATGCAGGGTATATAATTCTACTCAAAATCAACAAAAAAAACTGATAATGAGAATATCAGAATTGGAGACACCTTCTCGTGGAACCCAGAGTTTGCAAAAATCCTGGTAGAGCACAAGCTGAAAACTCAGCAGCTGCAGAACCTGCATGAACTCTAGTTACATATGTTGCAATTAAAACACAAGCATCTGGTTATGTTTGGGAATATCCAAAAGAAGAATGACTTTGGCCAGTCATTTTGATGTTGAAATATAGAAAGTGTCGTGGAAGAGGCAAAGGATCATTTTCAAATACTCCCTCAGTCCCAAAATAAGTGTCCCTTTTTGGGAATCGAACTTTTTAAGACAATGATTTTTATTATTTTTTTATTGTATTAGTAGTGAATGAATTACCAAATTTATCCTTAGTGGGTTATTTACTTTTATAGGTTCAATGCAAGAATATTAAATTGGTAATATTACAAAAAATAGTGCATTGACTTTTCAAATGGGAAAAACTTATTTTGGGACGGATAACAATGGAAAGATGGACACTTACTTTGGGACGGAGGGAGTATTAGTTAATGCTTCTCTTACAAGTATTTTATATAATTGTTGTAGACTTCTCCCATTAGCTTTAAGGTTTTATGGATTTTGTTCAATAGTTAAAAGTAGACACATTTTTTTTTCTTAAAAATAATTTCTGAGGTTCAATTTCAATCTCAAGTATGTCTCTGAGAAAATAAGTGGTCCTAGTTTCACTAGAAATCACTTTATGTTTCATCCAAGCAAAGTTTTAAAGGGCAGGTCTCACGGTCACCCAACTTGTTTCCTTTTAGTTTTAGTGCTCATTAAAATTCATCATTCCTCGAGTTTGGTCCCAAACACACCAGTCGGGTGAAAGAAAGTAGTGCGATGTGAACCTCGATGGCCATCAAAGATTCCAAACACATGGATATCCTTTTCATTGCATAGATGGGGCATAAGAAAGTGTGTATCCTCCATAGTCTCCCTTCTGCCGCAAGTAGCAAAGGATCCCCATGACAGTGCTGGATAGTATGCCAAAGGATCATTTGAAGAGTTAAGCCAGGTTCTCATTCCAGAATCAGCTCCAAGAGAAGCTCTCCTTGAGAAGTGTGCACCCTTGGCAAACCAGTTAATACTCTCTTGATAAACTCGATGATTTGTGATGTCCCGATCATGAGGAGAGATAGAAGGTTCAGCAAGTGCATTTTCCTCTTGTTTTACTCTCTTCCTGTGTTCCAAAATGGGATCAAGTTCCAAAACTATATCACCAAAAGATGGCCTTTTTTCGGGATAGGCATCCCAACATCTCTGTATCAAGGACAGTAACCCTGCTGGAGCACCTGAGTCAAAACTGCAAAGAATTGGCCGCAGTCCTTCAGATACCACAGCAGCTGTGAGTTGTTGTTCAGTATAGTTCATTTCCAGCACAGTGTGGGCCTGCCAACAAGAAATATGTAAAACAAAATTTGTGAAGCACTGAATTGTTTTTTTCTTTCAATTTTATGAAAATTAGAATCCCAGTAGGAGACCGATCTGTAAATGCAGAAGAAATATCATAACAATTATGTTTGTGTTTCCGATTATAAACATCAAGAAGAATGTGTGGAATGTGAACTAAGCTATGAGTTGGAATTGAAAGAAGTCATGTTAGACAGTTGAACAATTGAGGGAACTACTAAATAACACCTTGTGGCAGAATACAAGAGATGGTTTAAGTTGAAGGATGAATATCAGTGTGAAGAAACTGAAAAATGTTACTCATAGATGATAAAAATGAAATGGAGCAAGCCCTTTATACTAACGCCAACTAACACAAATCAGGCTCCATTTGGATAATATAAATGGATTTGAAAGGGATCTGAGTTCAAATAAAAGATTGACTAATTTACTTGGATTGGGAAATCCAGGGAATGCAAGATTATAAGTATCATCATCATCATCATCTTTGCCTTAATCCCATATGAATTGGGTCAGCCACATGAATTCTCTCTCTCCAACATTTTCTATTACATGCCATTTCACCTACTACATTTAAGTGTTTAACTATTTTAAGTCATTTTTAAAAACCTCATCCCATGTTATTTTTGGTCGCCCTCTCCATCTCTTACCTTCTATTACAACTAGTATTCCTGATTTGACCAGCGCGTCTCTAGGTTTCCGATGTAGATGTCCAAACCATCCAAGTCTACTCTCTCTAATTTTCTCACCAATGGGTGCTACACCTAATATTCCTCTCACAAATTCATTACTGACCCTATCTCTTCTAGTCATTCCATTCATCCATCTTAACATTCTCATTTCAGCTACATGAAGGTGTTGTTCTTGTTTCTCTTTTAGGATCCAACATTCCACTCCATACAACATGGTCTAATGACGGTCTTATAGAATTTTCCTTTTAGCCTGTGTTATTCTTTTATCACATAAAATCCCCCTAGTCTGTCTCCATTTTGTCCAATCGGCTCCAATCCTACTAGCTTAAAGCTATAGGGGCATCTTGAACGGCTTTTGTTTTTTGGGGAACGCTCCCCTTTTGAGTGTCTTTTTTTAAATCTTACTTATCAAAATATATATATATATATATATATATATATATATATTTTGGTTTTAAAGTGTTATCATTATTGTTACGACAAACACAGCGAACCTAAGCAACAATTACAAAACACAATAGAAAATTAAACACACCACACACAAAGAACACAAAGATTTATACGTGGTTTGGCAAAGTCTACGTACACGGTGGAGATCCGGCGAAAGTCTTCACTATGTGTAAAATTGGAGATTACAAGTTTCAGCCTCTCACTCTCTTTCTGTACGATTTTCAGTGTCTCTCTCTTTGCCCACTCCAAACCCTAAACGCCCTTATATATAACGGACTACAAGAGAGTACTAATTAGGGCCACAACCCACAAGCAAAAACGGGTCAAACAATTTTCATAGGGCAAGCCCCCGAAACCCCAGAGCCATCCAACAAGTCGTCAGGTCGCAATGCCACCCGTTACCAACTTCAAACCACAACATCACAATTACACTATCAATGTCCGAGTCTTTATCAAATTTACACTCCGTATACTCAGTTTTATTTCAACTAATTCCCAATCCTTTTGATTCTAAAGCATTTCTCCATATTTCTAGTTTTATTGCTAGGTTCTCTTTAGAAATATCCAAGAGCACGATATCATCGACAAAAATCATGCACCATGGGATCTTGTTTTGGAATTCTTTTGTTATCTCATCTAAGATTATTGCAAATAAATATAGACTTAGCTCCAATCCTTGGTGCAATCCTACATGTATGGAAAACTCCCTAATGTCACAGCACGTGGCACAAACTTTAGTTTGTGTACTCATATACATATTTTGGATACTTTTTATGATTTATAAGGGAATTTGTTTTCTTTGTAGGGCCCACCAAGTTATCTCTTTAAAGACCCCTTTTTCTAAATCTATAAAAACTATATGTAAGTCTTGTTGCTTACTTCTACATTCTTCAAAGTGTCACCATCGATACTACCTTTGACCAAGTGAGCAGGTCATCTATTGTCAAACACAATGCTTGTGTGAGCTCCTTATCAGCTCCTCAAGACACTACTCTCTCCATTCACATTCAAGGAAATGTTTTGACATCATCCATGCATATAGTGACTAACAATACATCTCTAGTCACAAGACTCGCAACAAATATCAAAAGGAATAAATGGAGAAAACTAACCTGTGCTTCTGCACGAAGATCAGTGTATGGGACAACTCCAGTAAGAAGTTCACTGCAATAAGATGAAATCAAGTTTCATGTCATTCCAACATTTGAGTCTCTAGCTTGCATGGTATCTCCTCATCCTCCAATATGGATAGTTGAGGGTTCAGGTCCCCATTGGGGCATAGTGTATGCATACGTGAACTTACTAACCCAAAAAAGTAATAATAAAAAATAGAAAGAAAAGAGAGAGAGAGAGAGAGAGAAGATGGATCTTTTTAATTGAATTTGATTGCAGATAAATCCAACAACGGACCGGTAATATATAACAAAGTAAGAGATACAAGAAATCGATATAAAAGAGTTAGAGATTCAGACTATCCCTGCCATATAGCATAATGACTCCATGGTGCTGTCTAAGATGTTATCCCAACTATTAAAAAGTATATGCATGCTGCATAAACCTTTGTAGATTGCCTTAAGCATCTGTAGGATGAAGTAATTTACTAAATAACTAACCATCCTACTGGATGAATGCAACAATTTATGAATAACCATAAATGATCTTTTCTTTCATTTTCTTTTCAACAAGTATAGGAGAAAATAACCGGGCCAGAAAGAAGAGAGAAAGAAAGACAATAAAAAGGTAGAGTTATTCAAACTTTTATGTTCAAGAATAGATTGTTATTGATGTTTGCAGTTAGATCAGCCTTCTCATGCCCATCAAACAGGGAAAAGAGAGAGGAGGGTGGGGGGTTTACATCAACCTTCTCATGATGTCAATATTTCCATATAAAGCCAAATGACGAGGAAACAGCCTCCCCCCACCCCTCCCTCCTCCCAAAACCCGCTTTCCCGGATTAAAGTAGATGTACCAATGATGACTAAAGTATTAAACTACACTGGTACACACATAATTAAAATTTCTGAAGAGCAAATTCAAAGTGCATTAAAGGAAAGTAGCCCGGATATGTTCCACTTCTGCATTCAGGTCAACAGTATTTTAAACAGCAAGCTCAGGTAAGAACTTTCAGTAGCACCATAAATTATTCACTTTTATGCTAGGGGGTAAGAGGGTTTTAAACTGCAAACACAAATAAAATTTTCAACTAGCCTGAGAATCCTAAATTTTTTTAAACATTAATAATAAGAATCATAAAAGGTATGCATGTTTTTATTCAGATCCAAGACCAAGTCTCTAGACTTATCATAGTAAGTTCAGCTAAAAACTTCCACTGGCCCTCAGAATTATTCGCTTCTGTCTTAGGGGGTAATGGGGTTGAATTTATTTGCTTCTATCTTTAGGGGGTAATATATACCCCAGTTTCACAAGGTATTAAGACTGTGGACTCAGTTGAGAAATTCAAGAATATATATGGGGCTGTGGAGCAAGAAGGTAAATTGCAAGTAATGGAAGAGCACAAATCTTCTAGGCAGAGAAAGAAACCATATGTGCCTCCTTCAGACAGAATAACGAGAGGAATGCAAGCAGGCAGTGGTTCACTGCCATTGTCTCAATAATGTTAGGGGCTTGGAATGTGAGAGGTCTTAATAGACCTCCCATGCAAAAGGAAGCAAAGCAGTGGATTCTAGAAAACAAATTTGCTTTTGCTGTCCTTGTGGAAACTAGAGTGAAGGAAGGTAAGGCATCCAAAATTCAGAAAAAACTTTGTCCTCAATGGAGTTGGTTGGCTAACTATAAGTCTAGCTATTTGGGAAAATTTTGGATTGGTTGGAATCGAGCTTTATTTGATGTGGAATTGATACAAGAAGATGCTCAAGCAATGCTAGTTCAAGTGAAACATATTGTGTCTGGTAAAAAAACAAATTTATTACTAGAGTTTATGCTGCAAATAGAGTTAAAGAAAGAAGAGATTTGTGGAAATCTCTTAGGGCTCAAGCTGAAAAAATTTCAGGCCCTTGGATTGCTGTGGGAGATTGGAATATTATTAGATATAGTCATGAGAAGAAAGGTGGTCTGCGAGTTCCTCAATGTAGATTGGATGAATTCAACAGCTTAATTCAGGACATAAGTATGGAAGATCTTCCCGTAAATAATGGTGAATGGTCTTGGAGTAACAAACAGAACTTACAATCAAGGATTAATGCAAAGTTAGATAGAGTTCTTGTGAAATCTCAATGGCTGCAGCAATTCACTGATTTAAAGGTTTCTCTCACACCTGGCTCTTTGTCTGATCATTATGGTATGGCAGTTCAATGGTATTTTGATTGCTCCCAAAACCTTTTAAATTCCTCAAAATTTGGTGTCTACATGATGAAGTTGAATCAGTTGTTTGTAAGGCATGGGAGAAGGATGTTACAGGGAGTCCTTTACATATTCTACAGAAAAAATTAAGAGCTGTGAAGGCAGATGTTAAAGAATGGAACAAGACTAAGGGTACTATTTCTGAACAAATCCAAGTAGCTAGAGATGATTTACATCTAGCTCAAATGAAATTGTTACATCAGCAAGTTGATCAAGATTGCATAGACAGAGAGAGAGATCTGACAGGTAAATTGCAACAAGCTTTGGAACTTGAAGAAATTTATTGGGCTCAAAAGTCTAGGATAATGGCTGCAAGAAGGGGATAAGTGAACTGCTTTTTTCCATAATGTGGTTAGACAAAGGAGATGCTCAAATTCTATTACTCAACTGCAAAATTCCAATGGTGAGATGTCGGCTGATCCTAATACTTCAAAGACTGGTTGGTTACTTTCTATGATGAATTGTACAAGAAACAAGGAGACATTGTGGCCGCGCTGAAGACCCCAAGAAAGGTTCTAAGTAATGAAGATGCTCAGAGTTTAGACTGTGGTATATCAGCAGAGGAAATTAAAGGTGGTGTTATGCAATTTCATCCTGATAAGGCACCAGGTCCAGATGGATTCCCAGCCAGATTTTATCAACATTATTGGAGATGTATTGGACAAGATGTGATTAATGCTGTTAGTTACTTTTTCACTGAAAGTACCCTTCCACAAGGTATCAATTCCACATTTTTGACCCTCATTCCCAAGGCAAATCATGGTGACAAAATTGCTAATCACAGGCCCATTGCCTTGTGTAATTTGGCTTACAAAATTATATCCAAAATTTTGGCAAATAGACTGAGTAAAGTTCTTCCCAACATCATTGGTCCTGAGCAAGTTGCGTTTATTAAAGATAGAAGGCTTCATTACAATACTCTGTTAGTATCTGATCTAATTAATGGATTTAGAAAAAAACATGGTGATCCAACTATTGCTTTGAAGGTTGATTTGAAGAAAGCGTATTATTCTGTTGATTGGGATTTTATTCAGAAAGTGTTACAAGGACATGGGTTTAGTGACAAATGGATCAAATGGACTAATGTTTGTATTAATTCTCCAAAATTCTCAGTTCTGTGTAATGGTGTTCCAGCTGGTTTCTTTTCTGCTTCCAGAGGTATAAGACAAGGCTGCCCTCTCTCTCCTCTGTTGTTTGCATTTGTCACAGAATACTTCAGTAATTTGATGGAGACTGCTATTGTTGAGGGTAAGATCAAAGTGTCAAAGGCTGTGTCACAGAAAAATATGAAGATCTCTCATACTTTTTATGCAGATGACCTCTTAGTGGAGGTCAAAGCAGACATATCTACTGTCAAAGCTATTGATGAGCTTCTCCAACAGTTTAAACAAGCCACTGGTCTTCAGGTAAATAAAGAGAAAAGTTCTGTTATTTTCTCTAAATCTGTCAGAGGTAGAAGAAGGATCTCCAACATTCTTCAATTTCAAACTGAAAACTTTCCTTTCAAATACTTTGTCTTGCCTTTGTCTAACAACAATTTAAGAACTGGTGATTTCAGAATGCTTGTGGATAAAATTAATGGGCGGTAACTCATTGGAAGACCATCAATCTATCTATCGCAGGAAGGATTGAATTGTTGAGGTCAGTTCTTTATTCTTATCTGTATCACTGGGTTTTTGGATTTAAAATTCCTTGGGAGGTAAAAGTTGATTTAGAAAGGAGATTCGAATGTTTCTTGTGGAGTGGAAAATCAGATGTTAAAAAGATTTCTCAATTGAAATGGAGTCAGGTGACCTTGCCAATTTCAGAGGGAGGCTTTAATCTTAGGAAAATTCAAGACATAGATGTGGCTGCCAAAATGACTTTATGCTGGGATTTTGTTCAGAAAAAGAATAAGATGTGGATTCAGTGGCTGCATGCAAGGTATCTTCAAAGAGTGTCTTTTTGGAATGTTGTTCCAAACACTACTGATTCCCCTATTTGGAAACAAATTCTAGGGGTTAGACAATTGATTTTACAAAACTTAGAGTTCAGAATTGGAGATGGGCTGCAGTTCAGGTTGCTTACAGATCCTTGGTGTGAAAACCAATCATTAATCCAGAGGTTTGGGGCTACATTGTTTAGACAAGTGGATAGAAAGACTTTTTTAGCAGACCTTATTGTCAATGGAAGATGGGATAGACCTGAGTGTATACCTGAAACAGTGTTTGGTGTTATTCAAAGGCTAAAGATTGTTGCAGGTTCAGATATTATAGGCTGGAAAACTGGTAGTTTCTCTCTGAAGGCAGCTTGGAATTCATGTAGATTCATAAACCCAACTTTGAATTGGCGTGATCTCTGTTGGAAGCACTGCAGGCCTCGAATTGCAGTGGTGGTGTGCATTATTTTACACAACAAGAATTTATCCTTGATTAATTTGCAGAAAAGAGGCATCACTATTATTGCTATATGTCACAACTGTATGAGGAATGTGGACTCCAATGATCATCTTTTTTGTACTTGCAATTATGCTCAACAGGTTTGGCATGAGATTTTTTCCCTTCTTCACATTGATAATCCACATTGTATTTCTATGATGCAAATGGTGGAATGGTTTGGACAGCAGACCACTACTGATTCTACCAAATCAAAAGTGTTGAGCTCAGTTTTTCAACTGCTATTTGGAAAATTTGGGTTATTAGAAATGAGGCTTTGCATAATGGAGTTCAAACTCAAGCTACTCAGGCTGCTCAGTCGATTATATGGGAGGTTTTGTCACATCTCAAACTCAGATTAGAAGACTTCCTTCTCATTTTTTAATGAGGAAGTGTTTTCTGGTCTGCTTGATTGTTGCTGCAGTGTGCTAAGGAATTTCCGTTTGCAGTGTACTGGACCATATGCTCATTCTACTTCAGAGAACCATTTTTTGGTTTTTTGTTATTTTTTTCTTAGGTTTGGTTTGTTTTTCTTTGCAAATGGATATTTTCCATTTTTTTGGTTTGTGTTGGAGGTTTTTATACCTACTGTTGTAATTGTACTATTTTGCTTTATTATATATATATATAAAAATAAAAAATAAAAAAAGGGTTGAAACTTCCACTGGCCCTCAAAATTATTCGCTTCTGGCTCTCAAGTGAGGAACTTTCAATGACCAGAAAAGTGGTGACATTTTTGGACATTTAGTGTAAGAAGCTATAAAGGTATAGAAATTTTATTAAATTAGATTGCTTTGTGAAATATAAAGATCCAAAGCATAAAATAAACTTTCTGGGTATGACAAAGCATGAAATAAACTTTCTGGATTTTGTATATGACAAAAAATGTCAATATATGAGCTCCTACTCTGTTCCAGCTTTGATTTAAAACTTCTCCCATCAAAGATCTAGTTATTCAAAAGACATTATATAATTTAAAAGTAGTGAAAAAAACAGTTCCTATATAATTCCATCACTTCATCCATTAACAAATTGCAATTAACAATATGAAAACCGAAACATCAAGAGTAGTAAATTCATTATATGTGTTTGGGTATTAGTCAACCATAGCAATAATACTTGAGATTGTGACACAACTCAGTTGTTTTAACAAATTCATAACCTAGTTCATCACAATTAGAACAACAATAGCATAGAAAAGAAGTTGCGTGCGGAAAACCAATACCTTCTTCTAACCAACATTAACAGAAACAAGTAGATATGTTTAGATACTTAGAAAAACACATAGTTAACTAGTTCCAATTTCTACAAGAACTCAAATGGATGGTTCAATATCCAAGGGACCTCCAAATGATACCTCAATTGATTTGTAATGTACTGACCAAGTAAATACCTGGGAAATTTTATTAAACAAGGGAAGATCTAGCACAAACCTTGGCTTAATTCCAAAATACAGGACCTTTATTAGGAATTTACAACTCAAAATAATTTATTATAGAATCGACTGGATTGGCTGGCCGATGTGTGCTAGCAGCAGATCATAAGTTCATAAAATCTACCGATCTACTGAATCTTATAAGACGACAAGAAGTTTTTTTCCTAGCTGTGACAAGGTTATAGTGTAGAGACAGCTGGCCCACTTAATCGATTTTTCCAACAGCCTCTACCGCTGATGCAACAGAAGTTAGAATGTTTATAAAATTTTAAGCATCACATTAGTCATCTCTCACTAACCTATAGTTGGCTATCTCAATGACTGAGATCTAGCAGTCTAAAACACTTGTAATTAACAAGTTTTGGTTGTTAAAAACAGTTCTTAAGAATTCAACTTATCAACAGGGTTTAACTGGCAGTTATGGTGACAACACATTGCAACCACTTTCAACCATACTTGACGTGCTTTTTAAAGCCCAGCCCACTCAAAGTTCAAATAATTTGGTGCATGTTAAAATTTCAGAAAGAAAGCATAATTATATTATCATTAATTATTTTTCATCAATTTTTGGTTCCAAATGATAATTTTGAAAATTAATGCCAAATATCACAAAATCAATAAATAAAAGTATAGAACTGCACTTCGAATTTGTTATTTAGTCCAAATTGGATGTAAGTATTGCAAATTCACTAAAAGATACATAAACAGCCTTCAGTTTGTCCAAATTCTTACTTGATTAATACTCCAAAACTGAAGACATCTGATTTTTCAGTATGTATCTCCTTCCTTAATATTTCAGGTGCCATATAGAGGAGTGTGCCAACCATATTCTTTTTATGGAAACCACCAGTCGGTTTGCCAGATGATCTCCAATTCTCATAAGAAATTTGTTTAAGATCTTTCTTGTATTCTGCCAAACCAAAGTCTGCTAGATGTGGACAAAGATTTTCATCAAGCTGCATTTTGTTGAAATAAAAAATATATATAATAAATAAAAGAGTATATTATTCAACCATTCTAATCTGGAACTGATCAAAAGTTGCAAAAGAAATTGATGGAAGTTTAAGAAAAATAAGTAAATCGAATGAAGATCAGTGCAGGAAATCATGGTTGAATTACAAGAATATTCGCTGGTTTGACATCCCTATGTACAATCCCAAGGTTATGCAGAAATTGCAGAGCTTTTGCTGTAAAACGGGAAACACAAGCATTATACATCAATCATCCAAACTATAGTGTATCATACCTTCATAAAACAAAGAAATCAAACAACAGATTAGAGATACGATAATAAGCTTTATAACACCTCTTAATCAGCTCAAGATGAGTAGATGAAAGGATACCATTCATTACCATTTAATAGTACAATCACTGTCAGTTCTACAGGGACGGAGGGAAAAACATGCGGGTGGGTGGGAGAAGGGAACCAACTTTAGTTACAAAAGTAGAATAACTCAATTTCAATTATCATTACATAATCAATCCCTGATTATCTTACTCATGTAATATGTGTTCTCTTATTTAGCGTCTCTACCCTCTTCTAAAAATTCTAATACCTTTTTAAATCCCCCTATCTGTGAACAGGCTAGAGCATGAAGGAGAGTCAAATCTGAAAGCTTTAAATAGTGCAAAAAGTCAGTAAGAAGCAAGCTCGCTCAAAATTATTAGAACTTTTCAGCTTGTGCGTGCGCGTGGTGGGAGGGAAGCTAGTTCCTATACCGCCCAATACATATTGGTATTAGCAATTTAGCATAGACCTATCAAATTTTCAAACCAATATCCAAATAAGTTAAAAGTAGTGTTACAAACAATAAAATGAAAGATATAACTTCTTTTTATTGAACTCAAAATTACTTAACAACTATTATTTCTTAAAACATACAACTATTGTTTCCCAAAAGAAACATGTTACCAAATGCAATGATTTAAAATTTAAACATGAAAAGTGACATGGTAATACATTTATGAACAAGAAATTATATTCATGTTTAAGTATTTGTATATGTGAAGAGCTACAAAGACTAGAATAATAATGAAATCAATAACATCACTAGTTTCATGAATAAAGCACATACACCACTAAACCATCTGTGAAACCTTTTAAGTACGTAAAAATGGGGCCCTTCTATAAGTTCATAAACTGGCATTCAAGGTAGGTCAGCAAAGTTGTCTGGCACACCGCACACCAATCTTCAAAAAGAGCTGTCCTAGAAATTTGAGCTTCTACTAGTGCCACTTTTCTAGAAATATATTATATAAGGAATTATTAAATCAAGAAAGGATCTTCTTATAGTGAGCAAAAGGTTGAATTTTCTTTTACACTATTTATGTACACTTTAAAGATAGTATCAATAATTCAGTACATCAATTTATGTGGAATGTCACAGATCTATACAATAATGAATGTCGTGAAATTTTTGCTAAATTATGTAATGTAGTACACTCAGCTCATTTGAAAGTATCAACTTGCAATAAGTGAAAAACAATCTAATAGGCCCAAAGTGAATGCTTCTAAGAGGCAAAGCTACAAAAATTCATCATTGCAAAATTACTTGAATATTAAAAACGTTATAGATGAATTGTAAATTATTTTCACTATTCATAGAAAATCATATTCCATTTTCGCCATATCCATGCCTACAGCCACGGAAGCTTTTTCAGATATTTGAACAAATATTATAATGACTTTAATATTTACTTATTAATATTTTCTTTTTATCAAATATCTGTTATTATGTGCCTTTAAAACTTGCACAGCATGTGATAAGATCACTAGTAATTAATCTTTGTAATGTTCCTTTTTGGCTGCTTTCATGAGAGCCCTCGACGGTCAGAAGTTGTCGTTTTTGGAGGTCACAAGCCTCCCTCGTCTGGATCTGCAAGGAGAGGTGGAGCGCATTTCTTCGCTCAGTGGTCATGTGTTTAGGGTGGACTATCACAGCACCTCTACTTGTGAATTCATGATTAGATCATGTCTTGTTGGGAGATTCAACAGAGAAGTGGGGACTTTGGAGGAGATCGAAAAGTGGGCTTCAAAGATTTGGCGGATCTCGTGTGGGGTTTGGGTTTTGTCGCTGGCCGATGGTCTTTTGCTGTTCCATTTCCCGTCGATTATGGAGGCACAGAAGGTTTTTGATAAGGGAAAGAAATCACGGGGAGATGCACAGTTGCTCATCGACCTTTGGTGCTACAAGGTTGGGTGCTTTGGGTTGAGAAAGAAGGCTAACCACCAGAGAATCATCATGTACGGCCTTCCTCTGCATTTATGGTTCCTCTACATTTATGGCATCAAAAGCTTTTTGTTGCTGTTGGGGATTTATGCGGAGGTTTCTGGGATGTTGAGGCGTATGAATTGAGCAACACGGAGAGGATTGTTGTTACTGTGGTTAAAGGCGGTGAGATCCAGGAGTCTATTGTCATGGAGGACAGGTAGTGGGCCTTCTAAATCTCTTCAACAGAGTAAATCGCTCCTTCCCTTGTGACGGTTTCCATGTCCTGCACCAGAAGTGATGATTTGAGGCCACCAGAGGCGACGGGTAAAAGGTTACGACCATCTCACAGGTCTGGGATTGGGGCTGGGAGTGAGCCGAAGCTTCAGAGGATGGATCTGCAGGGTCGCCGGACTCATGGACAGGGACTAGTGATGATGCACGCGCCAAAGGCGAGTGGGAGGGATGTCAGTGGGACACGTGGATGGAGGACGGTTGCCTCCCGTTGTGCGTGGAAGACAGCTAATGCATCACATGACGAGGCATGTGAGGTTAGGGGAGGTTTGAATTCTACTTCTGATGGGCCTGGTAGGATTGGGCTAATCAACGTGGGCCAATGCAAGTTGATTCAAGGGTTGATGGTTGGGTTGGGCATGTTAGGCCCAAGTCTTTTAGGTTAACCTCTCTTTCTGGCCTGTGCAGGTTGTTTTGAGGGTTATTTGTGGGGCTGGGCATAATAGGCCTAAGTCTCTTGGCCAACTTCTGTTTCTCGGCCTGTACTTGCTAAGGCCAAACACTCTAATGATAGGGTGGTGAGTTAGGGCCCAAATAGGTGTTTATCCGTTTCTATCACTGGTTTGCAGCCCAGCCCACCTTCTGTGTTGGTACCCAGCTTAGAGTCTCACGGCCATCTTCATGACTCAGCACAATTGAAGGCGGACTTGAGATATTGGTCAAAGTCGGAGAAGGAGAATTGGGCAAACGTATGTATGAACAAGAATAAGGGTGCTGGTTTGAGATCGAAGAAGTTTAGGCACAGTGAGTGTTGTCAGAATTGGCTCTCTGGGAACAGATTTGGTTCGCTTCAGTCGAGTTTTATATGTGATGACGAGAATGGCAGTTGTGCATCCATCAAGGAAAATGGCTATTCTTCTAGTAAGTCGCATCAATCCAGTAAAAGATGGACGAGAAAAGACAAGCAAAAATGGGTCGCCCGCAAGGTTATTCCTGAACCTAGTATGTACCCTCTTCCTTCTCTAAGAGCTCTCTCTCTGCTCCTTCTTTTGTTTCTACTCCTTTTGGGGTGTTGAGGAGCGAGGTGGGGGAGGATATTGATGGGAAGTCTCGGATGCTATCGCCAATGGTGGAGGTGGATTCCGCTGATGAGGTGTTGGATATGGATGTTATTAGGTTTGGGGCTTTTGGGCCGTCAGAAAGGGATGGGACGATCAGTTTGCTTGTTGATGGGGGTATTGATCGGAACTGTGATGGGCATGATGACTCTTGCTCTGATTTCTCCTCCTCTTCTTTTCAGTATGGTACATCTGGGGATGAGTTGGGTGGGCTGGTGGAGCCTCATTTGGGTCTGTGTTTACCCAAGGGTGATGCTCTGGTGTCATCTCAGACAATTAGTGTGCCAGATATGATTACAGTTTGCGTGAGCAAAGATATCTGTATAATCCTCAGTGATGAATCAGCTTCTTTGTTGGTTAAGGAATTGCAGAAGCACAGGTGTTTAACTGATGATTTGCCTACTATTGATCCAGATCCTTACACTAATGTTAAGAAGGTGGGGTGGAGGAGGCTGAGGGAAGTGATGTTGATGGGAGCAGGGATGATCTTGTAAGAAGAGGAGGAGGTAGGTCACTCTAATCTGGGGATAGTGGATCCTCTGGCGGTTGTGCGTCCGGAGGGTATAGACAGTGATTTTGATAAGCAGAAGTGTGGTGACTTAGGCAAGGATTAGGTTATGGCAAATATCAGGGCCATTAGTGAATTGCTAGGTGTCTCTTGCAAGGGCAATCGAGATCAAGCCTTAGCAATTCTTCAGGCTACGGTGGAGGGGGGAGAAGGGGAGATGATTCAGTTTTCTAGAAGAAGGAACAAAAGGAAGAAGATTCATCCTTCTTGGAGAGGGGAGAGGGAGCTGAGAAATCTCTGTTCTAACGTGAACTATAATAGGAAGCTAGTAGGGGAGAAAGGAAAGGGGTAGTGATAAGGAGGGAGGGAAGGGTAATGGTGAGGTGGGTGTTAATGTTTCCTTATAAAGCTATGAATTTTATCTTGGAATGTCCATGGCCTCAATGACCCGGGCAAGAGGAAGGTGGTGAAGATGGCAGTGAGAAAATAAGGGATTCATTTGGTGTGTCTCCAAGAAACGAAGATTGATTTTAGTAGGTTCATTGAGTAGGAGGCTCTGGATTCAGTAGGGACCTCTGGAGGCATTCTTCTCATGTGGGATAGGAGATGGATGGCAAAGGTGGATGTTTATAGGGAGCGTTTCTCTCTGTCTTGTGCTTTTGCGATGGAGGAGGATGGTTTTTCTTGGGCCTTCTCTAGTGTGTATCGGCCAGTGGATGACTGTGAAAGGCCTGTGCTGTGGGAGGAGCTTAGTGGGGTGAAGGGGATGTGGTCTCTTCCTTGGTGAGTGGCAGGAGATTTTAATGTGGTTAGATCCCCGTCGGAGAGATCTACAGGTAGTACATGGACTCCGGCTATGATGCATTTTTCGGAGTTTATTGATGGACATTAGCTTATCAATCTTCCTTTAGAGGGAGCTGCTTTTACTTGGTCCAGAGGTAGGGAGATGCCTATTCTTTCCCGCCTAGATAGATTCTTGATTTCTGGAGAGTGGGAAGAGAAGTTTCCGGACGCAGTTCAGGCTGTTTTGGCTAGGGTGACGTCGGACCACATTCCTTTGCTTTCGGACTGTGGAGGTTTGAGACCTCGTTGTACCCCTTTCAGATTTGAGAACATGT